TCCTGTGACTGGCGAAGTGACCATCAGCACGGCAGCTGGGGAGGCTCCCGGTAGAGACAAGGATGACTCTGATGCTACCACCCAGGTCGCTACGGAGGTTGCGACTGTCACGACTACGATCGGTGCTCCTGTTGAGCCTACTACTACTATAACGTCCTCTTTCCCGGTCAGTACAGCTGCTGTGACCGATGAGGTGGCTGTCACTACTGCACCTCCTGTGACTGGCGAAGTGCCCATCAGCACGGCAGCTGGGGAAGCTCCCGGTAGAGACAAGGATGACTCTGATGCTACCACCAAGGTCGCTACGGAGGCTGCAACTGTCACGACTACTATCGGGGCTCCTGTTGAGCCTACTACTATCACGTCCCCTTTCCTGGTCAGCACAGCTGCTGTGACTGATGAGACTGTTGATACTACTGCAGCCCCTGTGACTGGCGGGGTCACCATCACCACGGCAGCTGGGGAAGTTCCGGGAAGAGACAAGGATGATGCTGATGCTACCACCCCGATCGCTACTGAGACTGCGACAGTCGCTACTACGATCAGTGCTTCTGTTGAGCCTACTACTATTATGACGTCCCCTCAACCGGTCAGTACGCCCGCTGTGACCGATGAGATTGTTGCTACTACTGTGGACACGACCGATTCCGAGACTACTCTCAGTCCGATTGTGTAGCCGATCTAGGTTAATGAAGCTTTGTAATGCCCGGTGAGCGCATTTAATACAATCCGGGCCACTGCATGATGTCTTGATAATGAGTGTATAAGTGTTCATCTGTCCAAGTTGTGTTGGAGACGTTGCGTCGTAACATCACGAAGGCATCGACGTTATACCCCAATACAAAACCTATTGACAGTGCATCAGAGATATCTGAGTGGTTGCGAGATTGATGAGCGAGGGCGGGCAAGCCGCACCACAATGATCCTCTTACCAACTAGCATGAGCCCATGTTGGTTCTCCAGTGTCTGAATTCCGATTGTTGATATGCTGACAATTCTGTTGATAGTGAGTTCAAATGCAGAGGTTAGATAACCTAGAATCTCTGATGTATCCTTGACAGCTCAATGTGTTCTTATCAAGCTTCACATGTGTGACATCGACCAAAATCAGGGTAGGTGCAATCGGAGGGCAAGCTTGTTACTCGCGTAGCTGGATTATAGGGATAAATCCAACTGTGGTGCTGTGTAGATGGCCAGCCGCCCAGCCAATAAGGTTTATTCAGCTGAGTGATTATTTTGAGATTATGCCTTGACAGAAAATCGATTGGACAATGAGGAAGTCCCAGTCTGACCCGATGAGGAGTCATGAACTGTGCGCTACAGCCACGCAGAGTTGATTGGCCTTGGTCTTAGGAGCCATGAT